GTTTTAGACTCAATCTTTGACCAAAATCTGTTTCAATCCTAATTTAGTCCTGGTTTAGTCCCGATTCAGTCCTGATATAGTACTGGGTCAGTTCCAGTTCAGTCCTGGTTTATTTTTAATTTACACCTGTTTATTACTGGTCATTATTATATGTTTTGAATTAGTACTAGATTAGTCCTGGTTCAGTCCTGGTCAAGCTCCAGTTTAATTCCTGTTGAGCCCTGGTTTAGTCCTGGTTCAGTCCTGGTTCAGTCCTGGTTCAGTCCTGGTTCAGTCCTGGTTCAGTCCTGGTTCAGTGTTGATTCAGTCCTTGTTCAGTCTTGTTTAGTCCTGGTTCAGTCCTGTTTTAGTCCTGGTTCAGTCGTGGTTCAGTCCTGGTTCATCCCTGGTTCATCCCTGGTTCAGTCCTGGTTCAGTCCTGGTTCAGTGTTGATTCAGTCCTTGTTCAGTCTTGTTTTAGTCCTGGTTCAGTCCTGTTTTAGTCCTGGTTCAGTGATGGTTCAGTCCTGGTTCAGTCGTGGTTCAGTCCTGGTTCAGTCCTAGTTTATTCCTCAGTGACATTTCCCACTCCTTTGCCTCTGCTTATGCCCGGGGAGCTCTCATGACCTCTTTTAATCTGTTGTAGTCCTAGTTTAGTCCTAGTTTAGTCCTGCTTTAGTCCTGGTTTAATCCTGGTTTAGTCCTACTTTTAGACCTGGTTCAGTCCTGATTAGTCCTGGTTGAGTCCCAGTTTTAGACCTGGTTTAGTTCTGGTTCTGTCCCTGTTAGTCCTTCTTTAGTCTTTCTTTAACCTTTTGTGCTGGTTGATTTTTGTGTTATTTCTGGACTCTTCATTGCTGATTTAACCGATGAACTTTCCCTTTAATTAATACCACAATACTTCAAAACATAACATATTTTCTTTGGTGGTACTATAAATATTTTAAGAGTCACATCCCCCAGGGTCCTTCCTCTTTGGCACACAACAAAAGGGTGAAGTATGTGGGATAGTTCAGAGGCCAAAACACTTACCCCTCTTGGAAACTTTAACTCTTGGAGTCATTTGTTTTGCTTGAAGATACTTGACCCTATTTAAAGAAGACCTATAGTGCTTGTATCTGCTCTATAGTTATTGTTTCTGACACCTGTGTATTATGATGTTATCATTTTAAATCACAATATTCATCTAAAACGACATCAGAAAAGAATCATGTTCATTGTTAGAAAACTGTGGTGGGAGCTGAAGTCGCCATAAACGTCATCACAACAAAGTGCCACATGCTCCCTCCTATGGATAGCTGCACATCATGGTAGCGAGCAGCAGCTTTTTATTTTTTATTTTTTATTTGTACCAAAATGACTTCACAATGCTGCTGAATCCTACATTTATCTTCGATCAAGAAAGTAAAACTGGAGAAAGAAGCAAGTATGTCACAGCGGGCGTCTACCAGTGTTTTTGAAAACAAGGGTTGATCAGAGCAGTGATGACTCAAACATGCAGGAATGGGCAAATGAGAAGGGAAAACATCCATAACATGGTTAAAACCTCTAAAAAGTCAATTTTACCCCAGTACAGATTGTATTGACCTTTATTGAACCAGGATAGTCTCGCTGAGATTAAGAGTCTCATTTTTAGGGGAGTCCTGGTCCCACTGGGGACTGACTCTATTGTACATGTTTTTAGTGATAGGGGAAACTGGAGGACCTGAAGGGCACACAGGCACATTGAGAACATGCAAACTCCACACAGAAAGACCCTGCACCGCCCCAGAATCCAACCTAGGACCTTCCTGCTGTGAGGCGAGAACCCTGACCACTTTGCTACTGTGCCACCTAAATATATATTGTATAATCAGCTCTTCAGGTAGAAATGAATCCACTGTCTGCTGTCTGCATCTAATTATGAAATGTTCCTCCGAGAATCAGGAAGTGCACTGTTAGCATGCTTGTTGCTATTGTTACTGTGACAGTAAAACTTCAATCTTGCCTCTTGACAGTTGTGAAAAGCACTTAGAAAGTCAGTCACAAATAATTCAATGGCTCAGAATGCAAAAGGTAAGTGAGGAATAATTTTGGACCACTGCTGATATTAAAATTACAAACTTCATTTCGATACTAAGACTATCCAGACTTTATACTCAACACTGATTCCACAATTACCACGATATTAAAAACACACTCATAGTACTTTCTTTTCTGTTCGGATGCGGTCTTATATCTGTGTAATCGCTCAGTGGTCCAGGTAGGTTCCATAGTGGTCCATGGGTGTATACTAGTCAATGTGCTCTTATACTTGTTCTGATACAACTCAAGATCATTCTAAACCTGTTCAGTAAAGGTTCAGTTCTGTCCTGTGAATGTGACTTTTTTAGTATTGATACTGTTCAAGTGAGTATCGAGTTTCAATAGTAGTTTTACAGAACAAGTTTGTGTATCTTTACTCCTGTTTTGAATGTGAATCCTTGCTGTATACGTATATGCAGATGATGGCAGTAGTGGGCGGGTGGCGCGCTGGTCTTTTGTTCAGTTGTAATTAGGGCAGAACTATTAGCAGAACAGTGCCATTAAACGCGCTGCTGAAATAGAAACAGTATTATTCCTAACGCTGGAGGTACTTGTGTTTTCATTCATTAAGACGGGCCTTGGACTGAGACGAGCTGTGCAGTTTATGAGGGTGATTCTACCTCAGGCTGACTAAATCTTAGGCTGTAATGTTCTGAAATCACAAGTATACCTGGAGTTAGCCTTGTCATGATAACAAATTTTGAAGATGCAAATGTTTTTTTTCCATGGAGATGTTATTGCTTTCTCAGGAATATTTCACAGTATGGTATTAAACCTTTCTATCTTTATGGAGTCCAAACCAGACCAAGTGACAGGTCAGATCTGTGGAGAGGCGACCCCGCTCACAGAATACCTGTTTTTCTAGGTATTTTTGAGCAATAAATGTAAAAAGTAGAGCTGTCTAATGTCGTACTGTGGAACATTCCAGGCAGAGCAATGACATATCCATAGAAACAAGCAGGTGATGGACATATTACATGTTACATAGTAACATCTTTAGACAGTGAAATATAGGCAATAAATGACAATATTTAAATTAACTGATTATACAAAAAAATATTCTAAAGGCCCTATATAACACTAAAAGAACTTGTGAGTTTCAGTCATGTTATAATGTTACCTCATTAAAAACATACCTGGAGATGTGTCTTTTGAGTAACCCTTTATTATTACCATATTTTCCGCACAATTAGGCACTCTGGATTATAAGGCATCATAGAATGGCCTATTTTCAAACTTTTTTCACAAATAAACCGCACCGGACTTTAAACGAAACACAACAATTGGATGGGTCAGTCGGAATTGTTTGTCGCGTTCACGGTGACTCTGGGCTTTGTTCAGTTGTGGCGTGTAGGGAGGGTGCTGTCTGGGACCGCTGGATTGTCGGCGTGTTCGCAGTGACTCAGTTGTTCAGTTGTGGCTAGAAGTGGCACATTGCACTCGCTTTTTCAGTTCGTTCCTCCATTCCATTCCTCATCCGCGTGGAGTGATGAGTGTGGCTGCGGGTGTTTTTTGCTGCGCGGTCGCTGTCTGCTCCGTGCGTGTTTGCGTGCGCTGCGGGTTTTTGATGGGATTGGAGGCTTAAGAGCGCGCCCAATAGCCCGGAAAATACGGTAGTCTGTTTACATCTCCAAAGATCAAAACACTCTGTTCCACCTTGTGATGTCATGAAGTTGTCAATTTCAAGTTAACAGCTCCTTTTAGCATTAGTTCACTACAGATTGGCAGTTCCAGGACTGAAATTATCCAAATGATTTTAGTGAAGGTGTATGGAGCTTGAAAACATAGAGGAGCACTTCCTGTATTACCATATGACATCACAAGGTGGAACAGAGAATTTTGAGCTTTGGAGATGCAGATAGACTAATAATAAAGGGTTACTCAAACATGTGTGAATGAAAAAAAAACACAACTCCTGTTTTTAATGAGGTAACAACAACAATTTTCTTTTTGAGAGAATAATGCACCTTTGTAGGATGTGTGTGTGTACGTGTGTCTACTTATGTATGATAAATATTGAGCCCCCAAAATAGTTGTCATTTATTGAAAGATTTAACAAAAATAGGATTTTTCTGACCAGTATTGCGATTGTGGTTACTTTTGTGATGTCCTTGTGATTTTTGTTTATTTTAGTTGTGTTTTTGTTTCATTCAAAGCTTTAAAGCCCAGGTACTGTCTGTCTCAAAATGACTACACTTAAATGTAATTCACTAGCTAGGACCACGCCAACGACGACATAGTGCGAAGAAGTTTATTGATAATGTACGAAGCAAGGCAAAGATGGCTGGGTTGAGACTATGGGTGGGGGCTCCGTCTCAATCTACAATTGGCCCAGCCAGAACGGGACCCCCCTTGTAGGGGTCTTATGACTGAAAGACAAAATAGGGGATGGGAGGGTGGGGTCGAGTTAGCCAAGACAAACTAGGATGATGGGAAAGGCTGCTACATACAGGCTTCTGGGAAATTAGAGGCGTGGTCAAGGTGAGTTGTGGTTCGCTGGTGAGAGGAGAGGGCGGCTGAGGCGTGGTCCTGCTCCTGAATCTCAGTTAATCGTATTAACTACATTTATTGCTGTGTCCTTGGGCAACACTTTTCCCCCACTTTGCTTTTGTATGATCGTGGTTTCTAATCGAGTGGTGGTGGTTGCAGTGACTCACTTTCGTCTGTCCCAGGGCACTTCCTTTTTGGCACACAACAAAAGAGTGAAGTATGTGGGATAGTTCAGAGGCCAAGACGGTCACTCCTCGTGGGAACTTTAACTCTTTGATTCTGTTATTTGTTTTGCTTGAAGATTCTTGACCCTCTTAAAGAACGCATGTTGTGCTTGTGCCTGCTATAGTTGAAAGAGAGAGAAGATAGAGAAGAGAAGTCATACAGTAATCTATCTAAACTCTTACAGGTGTAATGGTGTCTGTGGTCCCTGTATTCACCTGTCTGTCTCCCTGTCTCTTTTTCAGGTGTAATGGTGTCTGTGGCCGTGTGCAGATGATGGATGTTGAGGCGTCCTACTCAGAGTTCATTACGTGCGATCGTACGGGCCGGAGGAACGCAGTGCCCGACATCGGCGGGGAGGGCGCGGTCGTGGCCAGCACCAGCCAGCTCAGCCAGGACCTGGAGGGCATGGACCTCAAGAGCAAAGGTCAGAGGCATGCTGCATGTGTGAATGGGGCTACGTGTGTGAGTAGGGCTGCATGTATGAGTGGAACTGTGTGTGCGTGGGGTTGAAGAGGAAGGGTCCACTGTCCTGGCTGATGATGTCTTTTTCATATCAATGGCCTCCTTTATCCAGCATTTAAACAAGAAGCAACCTGTAGAGCTTATAATACCTTAAAACAGCTGGACCACCATGGCTGATCATTTTGGACAGAGGGCAGGGACACATAACTCCTCCCAGGCCCAGGTCCAGACCAAACTGAGGGAGCATATGAGTGTCAAAGGAGTGCAAAGGCAATGCGCTTCTATTAAGTGTCCTTATTTTACCTTCTTCAAAGGAATGGGCAAACACCACCACTTTCTCAAACTATTGTGAAAAAATTTCAAGTTTTATTTACTTACACTGACATTGAACTTTGTGCCAGTTTTTGTTTCATGTGGATAGGCCCAGTAATTGCAGAGATATGAACCACAAACCAGGTCAACAAATTTGCAAGCTGACAGTTACACAGCAAATTCCACCTTCTTTTTGACCTGTCTCCAGCTCTGTGCCCATATGATGCTATTTTATGATCTGTGCGCTATAATCTTGTTTCCTCATCACAAATATACCTGGAGTTGTGTTTTGTTTCTTTCACTCATGTTTAACACAAATCCTGCATGTTTAGGCTTAAATCTTCTCTCAAACAAAAAAACCTCCGTTTCACCAGAAAACCTGTTTCACCTTGTGATGTCTTGTGGTAATACAGGAAGTGCCCCACTGTTTTTTAAACTTCATACACCTTCACTAGAATCATTTGAATTTTGAGCCCTGGAATTGCTAATTTCTGCAAAACAAATGGTAAAAGGTATTAGGATTCGTTCGCTCGATGGTAGGTGGGTACATTTTTATTCAAACAATCGCTGATATTTGGTCATGACTTGTGTAATGCACCAAATCTCCTTGGGAAGAAGGGCAATAATGTCTTTCCCCTTGATAAATTTCACCAAGCATTCTCTTTGTTCTGGCTTTAAATTCTCGATTTCGATAATTGTTACCAACACAGAATGTATGGCTTCATCTACATCCATCTCAACCGCTTTTTTAGTGTTGTGCTGTACCACAAAAGGGACCCAGTCATGGCTTCACGCCTCTTTGCTTATTGGCCGATGCACGGCCTACAACTTCTTGCAAACTGTCTAGTGTATTCCGATTCCTGACCTAGTCACTGGAGGGAAATGAAATTGAGCAGAGGCACTAGGTGGCGCCAGCCTGGCTAGTAAAAGGTAGCTGTTAACTTGAAAACTAGCGCTTCATGACATTACAAGGTGGATCAGAACATTTTGAGCTTTGGAGATGTAGACAGACTAATAATGAAGGATTATTCAAACACATGTGAATGAAACAAAACATGACTCCAGGTATGTTTTTGAGGAGGTAACAACATTCTAACATAGTCTAAAGGTTAGAAGAGTCAATATTTTGCTTAATATAAGACCTTTAATCTACAGGGAATCTATAGTGTTCTGATGTCACATGAATGCAAGTGATTCATCATTAAATCTATGTGTTGCTCTTATTTCTCTACTCATTGTATCACTGTTGTTTTTTGTCTTTTGTTGTTGTTTCAGGAGAGGACCCGGGCGCCTCTCCAGCCCCTGCAGCTGAGGGCTCCTCCGGCTCAGACGCCCAGGACGGCGGGGGTCCCTCTTAAAGCGCCCTGGGTTTGAATGGAGAGGCTTTCCACCCCAGGCATTTGAACACGGACACACTCCAGATGTCCTCAGACTAGCAGACCACCTCGCTCACTGCCAGCTCAAGATTGCCTCATGTGCAGATCCAACTAGACTGTCAAAGAGTGGAACTGAGTGGTATAAAAGGGGCGGTTGCAGATATATTTTCCATCACAGCGAGTAGATTTGAGTGATTCGAGACTTAAACAAAGAACTCTCAACATGCTCAGATTTGGAGATAGCGTCATTAATCATTGGTTTTGTCATTCTTCGTGTCCGTGTGCGTGCTGTGTGCTACCCGTCCACTGTCCAATACCTGTACTTTATTTTCTGTATCTTAGTTACCATTTTAATGTTGTGTACGGACTTCATATTTATTGCTAAATGTTTGGTGATAACTTTGTGATAGCATTTTTCTTTGTGTAATAAAAGACGTATGAATCTTGTCTCTGGTTTCAGAGCGGCTGTTACTTGAAACATACACACAACATTCATTTAGAATGTCATATAATGTTGGACTGGGTTTTATAAATAATTCTTGTTTAGCCCTGATATAATCCTACTTGGATTGCATTACATTGGTTTAGTCTGGATTAAATAGTTACTCCAATGTTTTATCTCTGGCTTACTCCTAACTTAAACCCTGGTTTAGTCCTGGTCTAGTTCAGTCCTGGTTCAGTTGGAGCAGGTAGGAGCTGGTTTAGGCTTAAATCAGTGCTTGCTGCAGCAGAGCTGTAAATGTTATTGTTCTTGTGTGTACATTATAAAGAATCAGGAAGTGTGTGTTTACATCTGCACCTGGCTCTGTCCCAGGCTCTGTCCACGGCTCGTCCATCTCTTTATAAGGGCCTCAGAGGACACAGGAGCCTAGAGACCTGTGTGTGTGTGTGTGCATATTTAGTCTCAGTTCTTCTTGCAAACAGAAAACACTCTGTTCCACCTTGTGATGTCATGTGGTAATACAGGAAGTGCTCCACTGTGTTTTTGAACTCCACACACCTTCACTAGAATCATTTGGGTAATTTCCTGGAACTGTCCATCTCTACTGTACTAAACGTAAAAGTTAGCTGTTAACTTGAAAACTACCTGATTTCATAAAGTGGAGCAGAGCAGGTTTGGGCTAAAAAATACTTTGAAAAATGTGCATTCTATTTCGTACTCTGAGCGGGGTTGTTTCTTCACAGATCTGACCTGTAACTAGTAACTCTCCAGGGAGAATTGGATAAGATTAATGCCAAAGCAATAACATCTCCATGGAGTCAAACAAGTGGTGAATGCACCATCAGAAAACTTACATAGCGCACCTTTTAGATTTTCCTGTACATGTTGCCTAGTTTTTTATATTGGTGAAGTCTGTAACTGTAATAATAGTCCATAGTTCAATAATATAGAGTAGTCATGATTAGACTAATACAAATAAATAACATCTTTATTTTGTTACATGAAGCATCTGCATCTCTCACACGCACTTATAGTGTAGCCTTTTATTGTTCAAGGTGTCTTTATACCAATACATGTGCTCAAAATACATGTAATAAATATGTGTAATGAAGTATTGTGCATTTCACAGTCACTAGTGTGGTGGTACAGGTGACTCTAGTGCCACCTAGTGGCAAAATGAAGGTTTGGTTAAAGCTGTATTACCATAGATCATATATACTCATATTACTACACAGGACTTAAGCACCAGACTAGGAACACTGAATACATCTCTGTTTGATGCACAGTTTACACCAGAGGCAGGGGCATGAGGTGGGACAGTTTCAGTGGGTCAAGAAGTGTACCGTATTCAAAATGACTTTTTTGTCATCATTCTAATCAAAGTTTGCCATTTCATGCTACTAGGTCACACCTTACTTACTTACCTTATTTAAAAATGTATCTTTTTGTTCGTGTTGCAGTTTGGGGTCAAATATGTGACTGTCCCTGACCCCTGGGTGTAAACACTAATAAGAATAAGGTTTGAAGATGGATCTGAAAATGAACTTAATGAACACTGAACTTGCTTGTTTCATCTGTTGCCGTGCCTTTTAAAATTAATGTAAACTTAATACAAAAGTACAAAATACTGACAACAAAATTCCCTTGTGCTGTACATTATTTGAGGAAAAAATGAGACCGTCACCTGCAGCAGGAGACCAGGATTTAGCCCAGTTTTAATCTGAGTTTAGTCCATGATGAAGTCCTACTAGTCCTATAGCTACATGTTTTGATTCATTAAGTCCTGGTTTAATTCTGTCTAGGTTTAATTCTGGTTTAGTCCTGGTTTAGTCCTGGTTTAGTCCTGGTTTAGCCCTACTTTAGCCCTGCTTTAGTCCTGCTTCATGGTCTCACTCAGAACATTGGGAGTGTAACTGTTAAATGATTGGATTAGTGAATAGTGAAATCTCCAAGGTCTCTAAGCCAATAAAGGCTTGCTTCTGACAGATGTGTGGGGACCAGAATTGATTTGTACAGAGTGAATACAGAGCCCTCTGCTTAAGATGAGACTAATGTGACCCCAGAAGGAAAAAGTACAAAGAATATGTCTGTGTAATCCCTCATTCATGCAGGTAGATTCTGTAGCCCCCCCCAACTGCCAACTGGTCTGACTAGGGTGCGTTCACACTTGCACAATCACCTCATCAAAACTAGAAATTAATTATGACTAAAAACAGAACCAAATCTGGACTAAAAATGAGGACTAAACCAAGACTAAACCAGGACTAGACAACACTAAACCAAATCTACATCAGGACTAAACCAAGTCTACATTTAGACTCAAACTGGGCAACTAAAACCAAAAATATGAACAGAGTATATTATATTACCATCCATCCATTTTCTGTGCGAACCCATAGTCCTTAGACTAGACCTGGTTTTGCCCTGGTTTAGTTCTGGTCTAGTCCTTGTTGAGTCCCGGTTTAGCCCATGTTTTTGGATTTTATCAGGTATGTATCAGTGGAGGGCTCTGTATTTTATTCTATAGGCTTTGTCTGAATAAAACAGGAGATAGATATGTGTTATTTCTTTGGTTGAAGTCCCTGTCCTTTTATAATGTTTCAAAGGTTTGGTTTTAAAAGGCAGTGCTCTGGATCATCCCATAGGCTTTGTACAGAGACTGGACCAGCTCCTTCTTCTCCTCCATAGGCAGGAAGCAAGACTGGGCTGCACATATGTTCTGCCAAACAAAACAATACAGAAAATTACATGTTTTTAGCAATGGAGTCAATTTAGTGACTATAGATATGATAGTAGGATACACAAGGATTTTATATCTGAATAAGTCAATTGTAGATGGTTCGCCCACTCAATAGTTGGCAACAGTCCCAGGGCCCTGTAAGAGTTTTGAGTGCCAAATGGAGGTAGAAAGCACTGTACAAATGCAACCATCTCTTAAATAGATTAAATAATAATTAACATAATCTATTATTTTATGAATGCAAAATTACTTAAATGCAGAGAAATAAAGGGTTAATTAGTAAATGTGGACACGTTTGACAAAGCTGGTCATATAATATAGTCTATTAACCTTGCACAACAAAATGGATTCTAGGTTCAAAGTTGGACAGAACAACTTCAGACTATTTTAGTGAAAATACAAACTATATTTAGTTTGTGAAAAACATGCATTTTTTCTCCCCAAAAGTATACTGTATCTGCATTGAATATGGCATCACTTTTTGAACTATATACAGTATCTGGTCTAAATGATCTCATATATTTCTCTCACCAGGCGTTGGAATTCCTGCTCGGTGAAGCCCATGTACTGCATGGCGGTCCTGTAGTCATCATGGAGACTGGTGTTAAAGATCAGGGGGTCATCTGTGTTCAGGGAGAAGTTTGCCTTATCTTCCCTAAAACTAGGAAGTTAAAATAAACCAGGAATGAGGAGATTTTACTATAACAACATTTAACATACTATATTAAAGTGTTAAATACTTTTTTTTAGCATCTCTGGGGGGTCATTTGCTTGCCTCATCTTGCTGGAATGTTCCATAGTATGTATAAACATATTTATTTTTAGGGCTGCAAGATGATTTACAGTCAGACTGTAATTGCAATTTGAATGGACACAATGACCAAATCCCAAAAGCATTTTTTGAAGTACCATCATTTCTAACATAAACCAACTCTCTTGTGTTATTTTACATAAAAACTGTTAACCCTGGAGTTCTGAAATGTGATTCTTGCATTAGTTTGTCAGTTCAGATTTCTGTCTTTTTGACAATTCTTCTGGACGTGTTTCAAACAAAGTCCTATTATTGACACATAATATCAAATTGCAATTACACTGCTTATTAGAAAAACTTAGACCCTTGTCTTTCAGTTTTTCAAAAACTTTTTTTAGTGCCATAAATATTTGATTTGGCTGTGTTCTGCTTGTGTCCATGGAAATTTTTTGCCATATTGTGGAATATTTCAGGCAAAACCACAACATCTCTGAGGAGACTAGATGTTCTTAGACTCATTTTTTTCACTTAGTGCTCTTTAACCAAGCATCATTGAAAATTAAAAAGTGACTCACGTGATGATGGGGTGCTTTGTGAAGTCTGAGCTGCAGGCACCAGTGAATTTACTGGAGATAGGACACATCTGAAACAGAGAAAGAATCACATTCTGTAGTGCTCCTATGCTCCACTAGAGGGCAGCAGGACACTATACTCAGACTGCAGACCAACAGATGGGACTTTAAGCACAATTACAACGTATGTAATAATGCAATACTATCAATCAAACTTTATTTGTATAGCACTTTTCATACATTTGAAATGTAGCACAAAGTACTTAATACTAAATAGTAATAGAATAATAGCAATTTTTGCAAGCTAAGCACCATCTTTAGAGCTGGGAAAAATGAAAATCAGAGAAACGTGCAATGTACTCTCCATCCTTATATCCACATAACATAATGTCTACAAGGCTAAATGGGAGCACCCTATTTAGACAAATTCTATTCTTTTGACCGTCATAACTGCATACACTTACCAAATTGTTGGCATCTTATTTCACACTTTGAAACTTATAACATAAAGGGTCATAAAGATACTGAACCAGTATATTTTAAACTGTAATGCATTCCAACCACCCTAAATACTGTGATGAGTTTAGAAATGCTTTTGACTTTCATGACTTCCTGGTTCCGGACAATAAAACGCTTTATAATTGATGGTCTCATTTTGAGTGCTTAACATGAGCCTGCTCACCTCAAAGTGCATCTTCTGGTGCAGTAGTCTTTTGTACAGACTCTGGTCCTCCAGGGTCCTGTATCCATGCCCCACCCTCTCAGCCTTCAGCACCTCCACAGCCTACAGCAACATACAGCAGGAAATAGGTTTCATTTTATTATTCAGAGGGTCACAGTGATACAATATATCACGTTTCTGGAGGAATCAATCAATTGTTTCAATCAATCAATTGTTTCTGGAGGAAACAATCAGCTTGTCTCAATGAACACGTTCCTTCTCTTCAAAGCCAGAGCTTAGAAGACAAGCAGGCCCATCCTGGTTATTATCTGGATGGGGCTGATAGAGGAGATTGGCAGCATTGCTTCAGTCAGTCTGTCCCAGGGCAACTGTGGCTACAAATGTATCTAACCACCAAGTGAATGATTAATACATATACTTCCTATACCATAAACTATAAACCAGGACAAGGGGGCTTTTTACTTTCTCACACCTGGGATTCTGTCCTGAGGAAGTCAGGTGCTGTCATCCTGCCTCCACCGGTAGGAAGACAGCACCAAAACCTGTTTAAATCAACTGACCAGACACGTCACAGCAACATCATGTGACCACTCTGAGGAAGAACGCTAGTGAGCAGTCCAAACTGTCAGGTATGAAAACAAACTCTTGGTCTGAAAAAAGAACCTAATAACATAAATACACTTGTTATTGAAATACATAATTGTAATGCTTTACTGTGGAACATAGCTAAGCAAAGATGTCCAGAGAAGCAGGTGGCAAAACATACACCACAAAAGTTACACAGTGCATCTTTAACAAAGTAAGCAGGAGGACTGGGGCCACAGTAGCTCATTTGGCAGGTGGAGTGTTTGTCCACAGATCCATAGGCTCTTTGGTAGAGTCGTCAGCTATACTGCTGATGGTGCGATTCTAACTCTCACTGATGAATGCTGCCATTGTGTCCTTGGGCAAGACACCACATCTCTACTCTCTGGGCACATTGGTCTATGAAGGCGTGTGTGAATGGGTGAGTGGTTCCTTGATGAGAGCCTTGAAGATGCTCTATGGAAATGTGACTATTTACCATTGAGGAGCTGAATTATCACTGTTGAAAGATACAGACAGACAGATATGCATGTGCATTATGTTGTTATCAGTGGTGGATGCAGTACTCAATTATGCTACTTAGATAAAAGTGCAGATACAGGGGCAAAAGATTACTCAAGCAAAAGTAAAAGTATCACATGAAAAAATATCCTTAAATAAAACTACTGAAGGACCTAAATGTACTCAAAGGATAAAAGGTAAAAGTATTTTACAGAGATTTTTGGAACAATTAACGCACCAAATGTTTTGATTTGATGAATGATTTTGAATTTAGCTGATTTTAAGTGATTGAATTGATTACTTAATTTTCCTAGCTGTTTTTGTGTATTTGGTTTGCTAATAATTAAATGTGCTGAAAATAAATCTCAGCCATTTCAGCAGATCTCAAACCATGAAGAAAAGTACTTTTTACTTTTCAGTCCAAAAATATTAGTGTGAGTAGAACGTGCAGATACCTGTTCTCAAATGTACTGAAGGAAAAGTAAAAAGGATCCGTACAGATACCTAAAAATTGTATATTTACTTTTGTACTACTTTACCTTACACCACTGTTTGCATTATGATTCACATTCATATTCAGGAGCATTCACATTTGATGAAGTTTGAGATCTGAACAGTCAAACTAATGCGAGAATCCCATGAAATACAGACCAGGTTTGTACAGGTCACAACTGTGGGAAGGGCATCTGACACACAGGGACATTTAGTTCACTGTAAATTACATTATATTACCTGAACAATATAGCTTTTCCGACTTCCTGATTGCGACCATTCAGATGATGATTTAGAATTGATTAATGGTGGAGCGGTATTGTCTTATTTCCTCTTTGTAATCAGGCCTTTCCCTCAGAGTCTTCACCTCTGCTCCATTTCATTAAAGATGCATTGTGTAACTTTTCTAGTGGAGGCTCCATCAAATGCTTTTCTCAACAGAAATCTTATTGTTTTGTCTGGAATATTTCACAGTTGGGCTAGGTTCCTCAAACCTAAATCAAAACAAACAAGAGAACAATAGGTGTAGCCAGGTCAGGTCCAGAGGTGTGGAAGTTCCATTATGGCCATAAATTGTTATGCTAATTAGACCCCAGACCCTGCACAGGTCAACAGGCCGAACTAACAAACAGAAACTGTAAACAAGTAGGTGTGTTAGTTTCAGTTAGTTAGCTCCTCCCTGCAGATATAAGGAAGTGTCCACCAGCATTCTGACCAGAACTGAAGAAGCAGCTTGGATGAGCTGCGAAACATCCAGTCGACAAACTTAATTTTCTCCTCGCCATGCATAGAAACTGCAGATGACAAACCCTCAACCAAAAAGTTACACAATGCACCTTTAATTGTTTCCATTTTACAATTTTACACAAAGAGGTAGCTAATATTTACTAAGTTACATTTACTTGAGTAAGTGTTTAATAAAATCTAAATTTTCACTGTACTTTTCACTATACTGGGGTAATATATTGATTGTTTAAAGTAACAGTACTGTTACTTGAGTAAAGGTTGTGCTTCCTTTCCCACTGTGAGTAAGTCTGTCGTGACAAAAGCTTTATGTGACAATCTGAAATTATTTGTGAAACATCTGTGTTTGTGCATTATTATAATTATTATAATGATTTGTTTTATCCTTCTAATCACAAACATTTTTAATTATAAATCAGATGTGCAAACAGTTAATTTTGCTTGAGTAGTAATTTCCCCAAATACTTTTTTACTTGTGTCATTTCTACCACTACCACTTAGTACTTCAAATTTTACCCTGGTACTATTGACAGTAATGGTAATGTTGCTTTTCTAAAGTGCATATGATGTTTTTCATACTCTTCTAATTCTGACTTGGTTTGGTGGGACAAAGTGTGGTAAGTATGTACTATATTATAGTTTCAGTATTAGTTGTGGTGAAACTTGCTGAGAAGAAAAGACCAAAAATACTAGCCTGATTCATCAGTCGGTTTCACCTCATGGAAACCGTCTGACCTCGCATCATTAGAATTCATTCACTTGACCGTAGGTGGGTACTTTTTTAAATTTAACCAATATCTGCTATTTGGTCATGATGTATGTAATGCGCCACTAACGGGGATAACTGGTATATTAAGCTTTTCCCAAATCCCGTAGGAAGAAGGACAATAACGTCTTTCCCCTTGATAAGATTCACTAAATATTCTCTTTGTTCTGGCTTTAAATCCTCGATTTCAGGAATCTTTGCCAACACAGCATGTATGGCTCTTCGCTGATTGGCTGGTGCCTGGACTCGCACTTCCGGGGTTCTTGCAAACCGTTTAGTGTATTCTGATTCCTGACCTAGTCGCTGGAGAGAAATTAAATTGAGTGGAGGCACTAGGTGGCACCAGCCTGGCTACAAAAATACAGAAAGTAGGAGTGAGATATAAACTACTATAAACGACCTAAATTATGAACACCAAAAGTTCTACCCAAAATGCAGAGAGAATTTACATAGACGGAAGGCATGTTTCTGACAAAGATTTTAAAAATAAAGGTGTTGTCATTTATTTTTATGAGCCTCATGAAATCCATTGTGTAATGAATACAAGTTTTGGCCCTAATATTGTAATTGCTAGGTAACAGAACTGGAATTACCTTTACGGATTAGTGTCAAACCACAAAGTAAAATTACAAACTTCATCAGAATTAAAAAGACTAGGCAAGATTTTTTTGTAAAATATAAATGATGTTAAAGTGGGAAAAACTGTAGCCTGTTATATGCACTTGAATTGCTTTGTTCCACAGTGAGTATTTTCATGTGTGTCAGACATGTAGCATGCAGCTGTTGTAGCTGTTGTGGCTTTACCTCCTGGACCACAGAGGGGGGGCCCACCTCTCCAGCATGAACAGTCCGATGGATGCCACTGCGCTCCGCTTCCTGAAACAGCACAGCACAGAGACAATTACTTTTTTGAACCTTATAATTTCCACAGCACTGAGACTGCTCTTATCAAGGTGACACATGACATCTTCCTGAACACTGATGTAGGCAAAGTCTCAGTCTCAGTCCTGTTAGATCTGAGTGCTGCTTTTGACAATGTCGATCATGGGATCCTCTTACACAGACTAGAGGACTGAGTGGGCATCTCTGGTACTGCACTAAACCCATTCTGGTCCTATCTAGAAGACAGGAAGTACTTTGTTAAAGATGGAAACTGTGTGTCTGATCCCCTGATGGCCCTGACCTGTGTGTAACGGCCTGCTCACTGTGAGACAACAGCAGTAAATCCAGAAGTCTGCTGCTCAGGTCCTGACTTGAAAAAGGAAGTACGAGCACATGTGTCCTGTGCTCAGATCTCTCCACTGCCCCCTGTGGCTCAGAGACTTTAAAGTGGCTCTGCTAGTATACAAGTCTCTCCATGGCCATGCACCAAAGTACACCTCTGACATGTCAGTGCCATATGAACAATTTGCATTCTGTGGAGCTCTGGGACCACCCTCCTGTTGATGTTAGTCAGGACTAACGCAGGACTAAACATGGAGAGTCAGTTTTTTTCAGTTTTATGCAGCTAAAACCTGTAACAGTCCTCCTGAACATGTGAAACAGACCTCTGCTCTGACTGTTGAGCTGTGCATATGAAGGTTTTTTTCTTCACAATTCTCTTTCAATGCTAATTTTATGGTGACTGATGGTTTGAATTAAGTCTACTTTGTGTACGAATTGTGCTATACAAATAAACTTGCCTTGCCTCGTGGCTGCCTGGCTCACACTCTGCTCAGTTTTTGAAAGTTTTTGTTTTTTGAGCTCAGTTTTTAGCATCATATCATGGGATTTTAACCAAAAAAGTGCAGCATGTTGGTTGTGTGAAATTAAATGTATCCATGGAGACCATGCAAGATAATAGGTAAGGAGACCTCTGAGATACTACAGGCTGTTTACATCAGATGTGCCAGCAAATGTGGAAATACTCTGAGGAAATAAAACATTTCATTAAAGACTGAAACCACAGAGCAACAGCACACTCATACCAAGAGCAGCCCCCATTCACTTCTGCTGCAGATACAGCAGGGCACAATACAGGAAGTGGAGAGATCTGCGTGTAACACAGTTGAACCGAAGTCAGCTTTATGCAAATAAAACAGCCACTCAGAAAACACCTTTTTGGCAGACACATGTGAGGCATAGCTAAGGTGCTAAACTCGCTCCCAATTACCCCTGCCCATGGTACACTCCCCATAGAATTGGTAGCAGTAGCAGGAGACACGAGAAGAAACTGAGAACAGGAGTACAGTTTTGTCGCTCTTGGTGTGAATGTGGTGTAATCAATCAATCAATCAATCAATCAATCAACAACTTTATTAATCCCAAAGGGCAATTCAGTTCTATAAATAATAAAAGGAAAAGAAAAACAGGGAGTCTGGGAGTCCCTGCTTAGACTGCTGCCCCCGCGACCCAGCCCCGGATAAGCAGAAGAAAATGGATGGATGGAAAAAGAAAAACAGATGCAATGCATTCAAACCTCAGTGAATCAGGGACACAATAGCAAATTCACTTTCCATTTAAAAGCCTTATGGCAGAAGGAACAAAAGATTTGGCGTTTTTTGCTGTGGGGTAATATATTGCCTACCAGAGGGCATTTGCACATGAGACCAGAGACTGCCGGGTCACACGCTGTAGAGTGCCCCCACAGGAGGTAGCGGGGCTTAGAAGAGGCTTTCCTGTCTACAGACACAGAGGAGGGACACATTGGTCATGCGGCTCTTCTCTATTCAACCTGCCCTGACACGGATCTGCTGACCCTCCCTGACCAGTCCTTCTGTTAAACTGCTCTGAGACCTTTAACTGAGACACAAAGGCCACTGAGAAGCGCATTATGTTTCTGCAGCTAAACTTGAACTTCCCTTGGGACCAAACAATATCTCTCTCTCTCTTCTCTCTCTCACTCGCTCTCTCTCTCTCATAAACACACACACACACACAATATTAGAGATAAGCCTCATTATTAGCTGTACTCTGCTCACTGCAGGTTAATCATTGAATTCAATGCATACAACACATGTGCCATTACATAATCATACTCTCTATAGAAGACTCCGTTTGTAAAGAAGGACAACTACATGAAAACAATTAGGACTTAATTAGGTCTAGTCAGATCTAAACTACGATATAAGGCCAAGTCTATGACTAAACCAGGACTAAATCAGGTATAGGTATAATTATATACCCTGATGTAGTCCTGATATAGACTTGGTTAGGTTCTGTTCTAGTCCTGTTTTAGTCCAGGTCTAATTTAGGTTTAGTTCCGGATTTAGCCCCAGTTTAGTTGTGGTGTGTGTGCAAGTGTAAACACAGTGCACATCAGGATTACATCAGGTTGAAAATTTCTTTCAACTCTGACTTAACTAAATCAGATAAATCAGGACTAAACCTGAACAAGGCCATGAACAACAACACACAATGACATTGCATTAACAAATACGGGCAAAAACACACAGTAAAGATGAGGAGTTTGTGTAATAGAAAACAGACATACTGAATATTAGAACCATGTTTGAACTTTCTGACCTCCTTCACTTATGGGCACTCCCTTTTAACAGCCTGTAGTTGTATATTAACCCTTTATTATCACCTGCAGGGAATTTTACTATCTTCATCATAACATGCACAGTAGTTTCACTGTGAAAAGGAATTATCATACTACTTCAATTAACAAAAGTGTCAGAGTAGTTTTAGGTTTATTTGAACAATTATCACGCCAACATTTTACATCTTGTTTTTCTTACACAAAGACATAAATTTAATAAAATTATACTAGTAGACAATTAAACTTGAAAGAAAAACAAAAAAACAAATTTCAATCATTTGCTCAGTTCTGACAGTACAAACAAAGATGTTCAAACAGAAGTCATTTTTGGGATTAAAAAGTGTTGTGCGCTGTTTGTGCTTTACCAGATCCAACCGTCATCACATTAATGACTCAAGTGACACCTTCAAACGGGTTTGTCAGATCACACTCACAGATACTGACCTAGATACTGAATCCAAACCAGGACCGAGTTGAAACTAAATCTGAACCTCGTCTAAGATGGATCTGTGCAAGAACTAAACCAAGACTAAGTTACAGGTCAGATCTGTGGAGGGGAGACACCCACTCACAGTAGGAATTCATATTTTTCAACATCTGTATTAAAATAAATGCAAGTTAAATAGATTAGAAGAAGATAAGTTAAATTCCATAAGATTACCTATATTCCATTTGAACTTTTCAGTTACAGATTTCCTGAGTCAAAAATTAAGAATTGTATAGATTCTAAACAACATTTTTTTAGCCTATTATCTTTAATTAGAGATGCACAGCTCCTAGCGATCCAAAGAAAAATGCTAAATTGAAGATCTGTAACAGGCCATTAAATAAACTAATAAATTGCTGTAATAAGACTTTTCACTGTCTGTTGTTGGACCTGAACATCTCTAATATTTGAACTATTTGTGCAAAGTTGCTCTGCAGTTACTTTAAGGATAAATAATAGTTACACATGTCATAATTGTTTTTTGTCCTACACCATTTGTGTTTAAAGAAATGTTGATATTAGGTATTTGACAGTAGACACTGTGTCAGAGTCTAGAAATGCATTTACATTAGTAACACAGATTTAAATCTCCCACGGCTTACATATACAGAGGTGAGTATCTCCCTTTGGCATTTTTTTTAGTCCATGGTTATTATGATTCTATGAACACAAGCTAATTAATACAATGTGAATAATATTGTTCAGGTGAAAGAGCATGGAATCCAAACACGGACACACCTGACAGCAGTAATCATAAGCAATAATAATAATAATTAAAGCCGCACACGGCGATGGTGGCCCTAGCCCCGGCGCGCACCGCCCCCCCATGCGACCTCCAGGGACTCGCGACCGCCCCGGCACGCCACCCTCTCTTCCCAACATCCGCCCAGGCCGACAGCTCGTCGATTAGACACGTTCCATAATGCACCTTTAAATATTTTTAGGAGTCATTGCGCCCCTGCTGGCCAACAGCGGAAAATGCACCATGTCCGTTATTTATTTTTTTGCTCATAATCATGCATAGAACTTATTCCCTGAATTTGGTACAAATCCAATAATGTAGACATGTCATGTCTATTCTAGGGGGCGCTATGGAGTTCACTTTTCATATACTTTATAGTGTATTATGTTTAGGCCGTGATCAGGCATTAGTGATTCAAATTTCAGCATGATTGGACTAAGTCTGTGGGTGTAATAATTTTTTAACTATTTTTCAGTGGAGTCTTTGCGCCCCTGCTGGCCAATGGTTGAAAATGCACCATGTCAATAATAGAGTTTTTTGCTTGTAATCATGCACAGAATTTAATTCCCGAATTTGGTACAAATCCGATAATGTTGACGTTTCATGTCTATGCTAGGGGGCGCTATAGAGTTCACTTTTATTAGATTTCATATTTCATCACATTCAGGCCTGGATCACGCAACTGTGATTTGAATTTGAGTTCTCTAGGACAATGCCTGTGGCCGTGACAGGTCACCGAAAAAACAGGAAATGAAGGCGTTTTTCGCCAGCCTGCTACGGGCAGGGTAAGGAGTATTAAAAAAAATTTTATGATTTTTGTGAGTTCATGTCTGTAGATGTGACATGTCAAATCTGAGCTCATCTGGACCAAATCCCGGGGACTTGAATCTTTTTGAGGACCCCCAAGTCAAAACAGCGCCGAATTTTTGATCCAATATGGCCGACTTCCTGTTCGTCATAGGGGTGCACAATGATTGACTTTTTCGCTTGTCTCCTTGAGTTCTATCACTGTTCCGAATTTCGTGACCGTACGACAAAATATGTGTCTCAGACTCCCATTCATTTTAAAATGTGCATTTTCTAGGGGGCGCTGTTGAGTGGGGGGGCTTTGGGCATAGTCGCGATGCCCATTTTATGAAATTTTTCACCGGGCCGATCGATCTGATACCCGGTTTGGGGACTTTTCGTCGATGTTCAGGCCCGCCCATTTTATGACATTTTTCACCGGGCCGATCGATCTGATACCCGGTTTGGGGACTTTTCGTTGATGTTCAGGCCCTCAAAATCGCGATCGTTTGCAAGGAAAAATAATAATAATAATAGAGCATAAGAAACCGAGCAAAAACAATACCCCTCGCCACTAACAAAGTTAGCCAACAATGGATGTGTGGCTTAGTGTGACTGGGAGCAAAACTACACCAGAAACTACAACAAGACTTAACCAAGGCAGAAACTAGGACTAAATAAGCACTAAACCTGGACTAAACCATGATTGATCCAAAGCTAAGTGTGGACCTGGACATGAGAACTAAACCAGGACTAAACCATACAATTTCAGACTTTCTGCAGCACTACTCTGTAAATGTCCTCTAAAAGAGGTCATAGATTTTGTTCTGAATGATACGAGAATATTCAGAGAGGAAGTCTACTGCACTTGAGAGACACCAGCATACAAATTAGTGTCTATGCTTGGCACACCCAGGACGGTTGTTTGACCCAAACTCAAAAACATGTACCACAGATAAAATCCTCCCTCTAAGGTCCTGACCAAGCTTCATATCAAGATAAAAAAGATGACATTGAATCCCAGAGACAATGAAGGATGGGTCAAATGCTGGGGACAAATGTCCCTATGGAGACAATTAAGTGTACCTTAACCTTTGACACAGTATGGTCCGGTCATACAGTAGAGCTCCCTGCATTTGAACTGAAAGTAACAGGAACTGGCTCGCCATGCACAGACTAAATTAAGATCTGAACCAACTCAAACAATGTCTAACACTGACCTCGTCCGCGGTCTTGGTGTTAGCCAACAGTAGGCCTGTCATGAAAGGACATTTTGAAGTGCAATATATTGCTGACGAAAGCATAGATGATAAGCAATATTCCTGAAACTGATTATACCAAAAACAATTCTAAAGGTATAATATTGTAAAAATAATATATAATAAATAGTATCGTAAAAAATGTGCTGCAATAAATAAATAAATAAATAAATAAATAAATAGGAGAATGAAACACTTTAGTTGCTAGTTTGCCTCTATTTATTTACTCAAACCTCTACAGCTTAAATGTAACAGAAGAATTGAAAAATAACAAAAAGTTCCCCACTAGTACAAAAAAAGATTGTTCCCTGTGCATGTTCTTCTTGCCAGTGCTCACCTCGTGCATGTTCTTACTGCTAACACTAAACTTGTGTGCGTTCTTACTGCTAACACTGACCTCGTAGGCGTTCTTGTGTCCGGGATAGGCCTCACAGTTGAGCGATTCGTCTCCTGCCAGGTCAATGGCCACCACTCCATCATCACGGTACTTCTTACACAGCTCCACCACGTCCATGGACCAGCCTGAGGTTAGATAAAGATAATGTCTCAACAAACAGGACAGAAATAACAAAATAACTTCAATAATCTGCTCTAAACCTATATTACATCTATTTGAAATATATGCATCATATCATTTCTGAGATATTTCAAAAGCTAAAATGTTCCACAAAACAGGTTCTGACTAATATAAAACATAGCCGTGTAAGCTTTCAAATGATAATGATATTTTAGTTAAAATAAGAGAAGGCAAAAGGAGAAATTAATTTGTCAACTGGACAAAAATTTATTTGGTTGAATACGTTTCACAGCTCATCCAAGCTGCTTCTTCAATTCTGGTCAAAATGCTGGTGGACACTTCCTTATCTGCCTGAAGGGAGGAGCTAACTACAATGAAACACATCTACTTGTTTACAGTTTCTGTTAGTTAGCTAGGCCGATTGATCTTGCACTGAGTGTGGGGTCTAACTAACTAACAGAAACTGTAAACAAGTAAATGTGTTAATTTCAGAGTAGTTTTATTGTAGTTAGCTCCTCCCTTCAGGCAGATATAAGGAAGTGTCCACCAGTATTCCGACCAGAACTGAAGAAGCAGCTTGGATGAGCTGTGAACTGTATTCGACCAAATAAACTTTTGTCCTGTAGAGAAAATAAATTTCTCCTTTTGCCATGAATTCTACCTAAATGACTGAGGGATTTCACACATCTTAAAGTAAGAGAACCATTATTGTACCAAAGAAATTACACTTTTAAAACATAACTCAAAGTACAAGAACAGTACACGAACTGTAATATGTAGTCAAAGATTAAGAAAAAAAAGAAAAGAATATTAACCTTAAAAAAATGCTCTGAAAACTATGTATATATATATATATATATATATATATATATATATATATATATATATATATATATATATATATATATATATATATATATATATATATATGACTGGTTAAGTACAGTGCAGTATATGGGCAACAACAAATAGCAGGTTTAGTTTTTTCAGTATATTGTATATTATTGCTATTAAAATAATGTCCAAAAATAGGTCTATAATTTTTTTGGAATATCACCCCTGCCTAGTTCCTCTATGAAGTGTAGTGGAAAGACAAGCGTTGTAGTTATTAACATTATGTAGCCTATCACTGGGTTTAGTTTTGTGTCTTGTTTTTCTTCTCACATGAATCTCTGAGCAGTGAGAGTGATCAGTGAAAGTTGGACTGAGTTTGAGCTATGGGTGGATTTGAGTTTCAGGAAACAGCTGCTGAATGAAGGATCTGATGAGGCAGCACTGCTCAGGTTTCTGTTAGAGAGGGAAAGACTCACTGCAAAGAGCAATGACCTCCACAAGGACTTTAAATCACATTATAATATCATTCAATAATAAACTCAGCCACTGACTAGTCATTAAGTAGTTATTTTAGTAGGCCTTGCTTTTTTCTCTTAACATTCCTGATCCGACAGTTGAATAAGGAGTTAAAATAATCTATAGGCTAATTATACACTGAAACAATTAATTGTTTGTTATTGTGGGTATAATGTATGTTTATATGTAAATCTAGGAGAAAAAACACAGTATATTATTTGAAGATAGAATATAGAAGCTGAATTATTACTGGACACCTCATAGGATATTTTGGACTGACAATGGAGACTGCAAGACTCCAGATTTGGGGATGGCTGGATGTAGTCATCTTGCTTGTGTGGCTCTTTGGTCATGACTTTTGTTCATGGATCTATTATAAAATCTGGAAGGGGTATTGCTGGCTTAAACCTGTCATGAGTTGGACTAGTGGCCAGTCTGTTGGTATTACAGTAAAAAAAAATCCTCTCCAGCCCAGAGAATGCAATGTAAACTGCTCGTTTTTGATTGACAGGAACCTGCAGCTTTTACAAAGGTCAGATTTGATTGGGATATTACCTATGTTTGACTTAGAATTTTTTTTCTCAGTCCAAAATGAGCTTAAGCTCCAACTTGCTCTGCTCCACTCTAGCTACTCTCGCTCTGATTGGTCAGAGTGGTCACATGGTAGGCGAGATCGCGCTCCTTCTGTACACTTCGTGGGAGTAGAACACTACTGTGTATGATCAAGGGCCGCACAACCACCTGATATACCTAAATCCCAAAAGGCTTATCTAGGGACATGCACCACTGAGCTTGACCCATTATCTTAAACGGGCGACCATGTTTGAATTCCAGGGCTAGCTCTAAACAAAGTGGTCGAGATGGATGTAGACGAAGCCATACATTCTGTGTTGGCAACGATTCACAAGATCGAGGATTTAAAGCCGGAACAAAGTGAATGTTTGGTGAATTTTATCAGAAAGGCGTTATTGCCCTTCTTCCTACGGATTTGGGAAAAGCTTAATATATCAGCTAGCCCCCTTAGTAGCGCATTACATACATCATGACCAAGTTTAGTTAAATAAAAAAAGTACCTGCCTACCGTTGAGCGAATGAATCCTAATGCTGCGAATTTACACGGTTTCCACGAAGTGAAACTGGCTGTTGAATCTGGCTAAGCTCTAGTTGGACTTGAACAGTTACTTAGCATGTGGCTGTGTTACAGTGTTACAGTTAATTATCCTATCTGTTTGTGTATCTTTATCATATTTATTATTATTATTATTATTTATTTATTTGGGACTGTGCATAAATATATTGGATTATAGCCAAATGCTCATTTCCATCCACTGTCCCAAAGGGCTGGGGTCACAAAAGGGCCAAACAATGGAATACTGCACACTCCACCCACTGGACAGACCTTTGAGCAGTTATTACTTGGCATGTGGCTGTGAAACAGTTTAAGTCAGTTCTTTAGTGTGTTTATGTATCTCTGATCAGGATTCTGTATGGTACTTGAGCAGTTATTACTTGGCATGTGGCAGTGAAACAGTTTAAGTCAGTTCTTTAGTGTGTTCATGTATCTTTGATCAGGATTCTATATAGTACTTGAGCAGTTATTACTTGGCATATGGTTGTGTTACGGAGTAGTTTAGTTATCTTGTGTGTTTGTGTATCTTTGATCAGATCTTTGTGCAGTTATTACTTGGCATGTGGCGCATGCAGCATAGAATGGACCTGGCTTTGGTTTTGAATTCCCTCTCCCCTTCACGCAGGCCCTGGTTCACCAGACGCACCACCTCCTCCGGGCTCAGGTCGCCTCTAAAAACAGATACGCAGATTAGATATAGACCTGTGCATATACTGTTTATTTAAAATGGGGTAGGTAAAATGTCTTCTGTGAATTTGCAGATTTTGTGCTGTATTTGCAAGGAAATAATGGACTCTTTTCACTGATTCAATTCAGTATAAAATATTACAGATGCACTATGTAAAAAAACTATGTTTTCTTGTCTCGTGGCTTTACCTGGAATATTCACAGTATGGTATAAACGTATAAAGCTACTTTGTGTAGCTAGACTGGCCGGCCTGCTCCTGATTCTCTTAACCCTCTCAGGCTCAAATAAATTTTTAGTATCAGGAAAAATCTGATATTTGGGGAAAATCATAATATGGGGTAGTAATATACAATTCTGACTTTTTTATCCTTTGTGAACAAAAAAAGTATTTTGCACTTCTGGCAGGCCGTTTGCATGTCGCCGTTCTTGCACAGTCTGCATTGCCCACGTTTATCAGCATGGATGGGAGAAAAGGCTCCTGAGTAAAAAAAAGCTCATATAATATGGATGTGGAGTAAGTAGGTACTTGGAATTTAGCTGTTGCAAATCTGCAACGCCTGCCTGGAGAGGGTTAACACCACTAGATTTTGTCTGCATTACTGTTGTCTGATAGTGAGCACAGGTGAGCATGAAGAGGTCAGATGAGGGGTAGTCATACTTGCCATTTACTAGCAAAAAACATTTAGAAAACTTGACTAAACTAAAAAGTGGGACTAAACACCTAAACTCCAGGTGTCAGGTGTTAGCAATCTGAAACACCTACTGTAGTTGCAATCAGCAGTTTTTCGTGATGTCACCAACTACCAAAATGCAGAGGCCATAGAAGGCAGCACACAATCTGAAAATGTACCTAGTTGCCACAAAATGACTAGGAACAATAGAAAATGCTATTTAAACATCATATACACAGTTTATTAAGGCCATACTGTAATATTGACATTGTAATATTAGCTCTAGTAGAACATTCTCCAACAACATAAAGAGCATGTTTGTACTGTGTTGTGTTGTATGCTTAAATGTGTGTCCTGTGTCTTACTCTGTCTGGTTCCAGGGGATGGGGTCGACCTGAGTATTGGCCAGGAAGTGCGGACTGTACCGGACCTCCACGTACACCACGCCCTCCCTGGCTTTATCTTCCACGAACTCATAGGCTACCCTCCTAATGGCCTCTCGGTCGCCTCTGGAAGCACAAACACAGGTCATCTGCACTTTGGCTCTCATTATCTTATCTTTCTTGCATTAGTTATGGCTAATATGACTTTAAACAGCTTCATCAGGGATTACTGCTTAATGCAGTTTGGGGAGGCTATAGATACTTTGCAGTGACCTCACACTGGAAGTGTCTACATGTATCTCTAATGATTTAATGTTTAGGAGTTAGTGATACAATGCACCCAATAGCAAACACTGACAGAAACCTTTTAAGATGGTCTGAAAATGCAAGAAAAAAACACAAAATGGATTTTAACAAAACATTTTCAGGACCCTGTGATGTGGTCCTGTTTAGGAGTTTGATTTTCAACATAAAGGTGACTAGTTCGCTTGTAACTGTAATTTTATCTGTGAGAAACTTGCTTTAACAGCAGATCACATATTAGTTCCAGTGAAGACAGTTCTTTCTGGTCAAACTGTGTTCAAATAAAGCACAGATTAAAGTCAGATAGAGCAGAGCCAACAGTTAGCATCACACCCCCAGGAAATGTTGTTGACAGGAGCTTCAAAGTATCAATATATAAGTGATCCTGCACCCAGTGCATTTTACTGCTCCTCATTTAATCCTTACATTATGAGACATCAGCAGAGTGTTCTTGTGGTCTATGACTCATGAATGGAAACTCCGCTCGCCAAGTCTCTGGGGTGTGGTCTGAAGAAAGCAACACTGCAAAACCTTCAGTGAACTCAAAATTGTAGAGTAATATTTAAAGGGTTTAATCATTGTTTTCATAACAGAGGAACAACCGCATGGGACACACACTATTGTTCCCACATTGTTCATCTAAAAACTATAAAGTTACAGATGTCATAAAATTTTATTGCCCTGTTACTGTGGCTTCATTGTATTTCTAACTTCTCTAACATATCGTAATTATTCACTGCAATGAGTTTATTGACACTTTGCAGCTGATGTCATCAATATTCTCTGGGGGTGTGATGCTAACTGTAAACACTGCTCTATTTGAGCCTTTTTAGACTTCAACCCAAGTTTTCTTTAAACACAATCTGAGCTGAAAGACCTGGTTTAGTTAGAAATACAACAGGTGAGATGATATGTGCTGTTAAAGAAGTCTCACACATAAAATTACAGTCACAAGCTAGCTTTGAATTTTTAATTGCCATAGCAACGGTCCCAAATTTTCATCACTCTGACATCCATGGGCAATAATAACAGAGGAACACAACACCACAGAAAGCATCTAGCTCTCACAGTGAATAGTCCACAGTACAGTGCACACCGGCCTCCATTGGTTCTCCTCCTCTGGTACCTTCCCTTTAAAGCCCAGGTACACAAGCTCCATTCACTCACTTTGTTTGGCTTTTCTATCTGAGTCATTCAGAGCTGAACATGTGAGCAGCCTTTCGAAACATTTCACATGTTTAAAGCTGACACATACATGTTGTAAAACAAGGAGGGATCCGCAGGAGCCTTTACTCTGGACTAGTCTATAGTAGCCCTGTAAACTCCCATATTAGTCTAAAATAGCTTTGTCGTGCTTGTTGTATTCATGTTATAATCTAGTTTCCATATCAAAATACATACCTGGAATTTCTGAAGTGTTTTATTTCATTCTCATGTTTATGAGTAATCATTTATTTGGCTTTATTTCAAGAAGTCACAACTGTAAGTCCACCTCGTGATGCCATTAGGTGGTGATCCAGGAAGTACTCAATTGTTAAACATTCTTATAAATGTTCTAATTAAAGGTAGTGTATGTAGCCTGTGCTCTTACTGCTTAAAAAGTTATTGCAATCACGAGTTAACTTGGGCTGCCTCAACCTGAAGATAGAGGACACAACTAAGTTTTTCTCATTCTCAGTATATGAATTCCCTCACCGAGCTGCAGAGGCTGCACTAGCACTGATTCATGTTTTGCAAGTGCTGGGGTTTAGGTAGTGAGGATTCAGGATTCAAAATGTCAACCCAAATTTCTGATTCTTAATTATCTTGAAAACGAAACTGCCAAACAACTTGACCATCATGTCGAAAGTTTTCATAATTTAGAATAAACCAGCAATTGTTATCAATAAAAGCTGAACATGCTTTGAACATATTTACCCATTTATCCATGGGTTTCAGAATGATGAATAATTAAGACTGCTGTCATAGAGATTAACAATTTAAAACTAAATATTATACCTTTTGAATGGTGAAAAGTCCTAAAATGTCATATATAGTTTGTGAATGGAATGATCTTGTGATCCACAGCCTTCAGTCATCAGTGCTCTCTCATTCACAAAGATAAGACTATCTATAAACTATAAACTGCTCCTTTAAAATCACACAGATGAACTTTGAACTTTGAACTTGAGCAGCACTTCCGAGGCTGAGGCAAACCCTGCCCTTTCTGACACCTGTGCAGCACGTGAGCAAAACTATTAAAGTTAAAATATTATGTAAAACAACTTTTATGAGCTTTTAATGGTGCTATAACTGTGCTCACTCGTCATGAGTTCTCTCAGAGTTGTATTTTGATTGATTAATGCATGTTTGTGTAATCATTTTGTGTATTAATCAATATTGTGGTTTAGAATGAACAAACTATAAACTAAACACCAGACAGTACTAAATACCCCAAAAGGATTATATGTATTCAACCAAATCCTATAAACGTACGCGATGACGTGCATGTACTCCCCGAATCGTCCCAGAAATGCCGTGAGACTTCCGGGTTTGTGGACGATAATTCTGTTTGTCATCTCCTCCACTGTGTCTGCAGGCAGAAGGATGCCCCGCCTCCTGGAATACACACAGAGAGAAACATGAGTTAAATATTTGCAAAAGGTTCAAACAAAAGTGGTGTTTATATAATTAGAACGATGGAATTTTAATGGGGAAACTTGGATTAACCACAGGATATAAGAACATAAGAACATGAGAAGAGAAAAGAAAGAACTATGATTTTATTGGAATTGGTACTGAGTATTGGGTCTATTCCTTAGCCTCCTATTCTATTCCTTAGAAAGTTTACATTTTTATGTAAGTTATTTTAGTATCATGACAACACCACTATAAGGGTAACTTTGTCCCACACAATAATAAACACACAGATTTAGAAAATCTTAAATATGTGTAAAAAAAAAAAAAAAAAAGACTGACTTGGCAACATCGAGAATGGTCTGGACTCTGAAGGCTCCATCGAGGTGTACGTGAAGTTCAACCTGAGAATGAAAAACAAATATGATAATTAATATTCAGTTATAATTATGTGGGTCCCTGCTACTGACAGGTTTCACTGAATGATGGGTCAAATGCAGAGAATTAATTTCCCTTACAATGGGATATGACTGTCACAACTGAACTTATCATTCAATATATGAAAGCTTGGAACAATATATTTTGAGGATCAGTATTTACCGTGGGTAATTTTTCCTTACAAATTGGGAGATTTTTGTTATTTTTGTTGTATACACCAAGATCGGGGGCCTGATTTAAGAACTGCGTAGGAGTTGTCCTTAGCTAGTGCGTACTCCTAGTGGCCACGAGATGCGGGCCACGCAAACTCCAAATTCAGAAAACCCTCTGCATGCACTCAACCATGCAATCTGTGCTTTATAGCTCCCACATGCAGCTAGAATACGCGCAGGTAAACCCACGTTACGTCACACCCTCTCCACACCTTCACTTCACCATAAAAGGAGCATGTAAAGTGACTCGTGAATGAGATTTCCCTAAACATGAGTCAATAATCAGTGGGTTTGACCGAGACACGAGGGACAGAGAGGAAGGGGGACGCCCCACGCAGCACCACACAGTCACGTCAAAGGCTTAAACAAGGTTTTACAACTAAATACAAAAGTAAAAGTGACAACAACGATTCATCTATTAATTTAATAATATTTCATAGTATTTAGGCAGCACATCTTTGCAAATACAGCTGAATTGTTTTCTTGCTGTTATACATGCACAGTAGATACATGCATGTGATGATCTGAATGGTTAAATTATAAGTGTGTGAGAGATTCAGATGCCCTCCCCTGGAGAGCGAAAGGAGCGAGGGAGGGACACATGGATTAGCAGCCAGGGGACGAGCGCTTCAGCAGGTAAACACAGATTTGGCATGTAACACATCAGTTACATATCAGGCGCCTGACCTCTGCTTAAATGCACAAATGTGAATATAAGTCTTTTATATCCATGGATTTTCTGATGATTTCCTGATCAAACACTTCCTCAAACTCTCTTCACTTCTGTTCCTCTCTATGATTGTCACTTTTCCCCTGTGTCTCCAGATTTTGTGTAGAGCTTACAGCAGGATCTGAGCTGCTGTAGAAATAAGCAAAATGTGGCACTTAGGAGGAGTTTCATAAATCCCGCAGTTGGCGTAAAGTGCGCCTACGCCAGGATTTGTGCGTAAATGAGCTTTATACTGTAAAGGCCTCTGAGCTGTCGAGGGTTAAATGTGTATCTTCTGGCTAATTATTGCTTCATTCTGCTATTTATTTGTTGCAGCTTAGGCCTTTAAATGATACTATCTATGTGTTTATTGGTAGTATTTACGTACATAACATAAAATAGTTTCCTTGTTACTGCAGTATATCTCTATAGCAATAGATCATACTTCAAAATTCGTGACAGGCCTCAAACTAATCCAAAGAATTCAAAAACATTATCCACACTGTGACTATGAGTAGCACAGTAAATTATACAATGTAGTACACTGTAGTACACTGTAAATAGGCCTGTTAGAAATAATAGTAGGAGCATCAAGACTAAGTAGTGGTAGTGTAGTAGTAGTAGTATTAATAGCGGTAGCAGTAGTTGTGTAGTTGTAGCAATAGTTATAGGAGAAGTACCAGTAATAGCAGTAGTAGCAATAATAGTAGTAGTAGTAATAATAATAGTAGTAATAATAGTAGTAGCAATTATAGTGGTAACAGTAGTAGTAGAAGTAGAAGTGGTAGCAGTAGCAGCAGTTGTTACAGTAGTAAAATGTGATAGATTAGAAGTGTGTTTGGCTGCAGAGTCCACACAGCACATTTGTGGTGAGGGTGTGGTGAAGGCCAGAGGAGCCAGAGGAGTCAGAGGAGACAGAGGAGCCAGAGGAGCTAGAGGTCACAGAGATCACAGAAGTGTTGGAGCTATCACCTCTCACTAACAACAGTCATAAATTTAAAGGCTGCCATCACGCTTTAGAATTTGATGATGTTGTAATGTCAAATGGATGACCTCCACGGGGCCTATATACCTATATGACTATATGGGCGATTCACTGTTTTTCAAAGAAATATACAAACTAATCCACAAATACACCGATGCATTTTTGTCTGACACCCATTACAAACCAGTACCAGTGGAGAGACCGATAACAGCATTAATTTCCTTTAAACACAAAAGTGTGACAGAAAATTATCCAAATGTGCTTTGCATCTCTTATTTATCATTTAAAGCAACTACACAACAGTTTTGAAAAAATAAAAATAAAAAATTCAATATTGCAAGGAACAGACATTGGCCATTTCTTATTACACCAATTTATAGTCCAAAATGTAATATCCACTGAACTGGTACGATGGGAACAATATGTAATCTATTTTTCAATTTCAATATACACAATAACATCCAATACCACTCCAGCAAAACACATGAACCAACCTGAGAAAGACCCCAGAAGAGGTCTATGAACATTAAATACAACTGTATTTAGAACTTCAGTTCATTTGGTCCTTCATTGTAGATTAAAGTGCAAAAAGGCCAGCATGTTTACTTTTTCAGGGTTAAGTTTTGCTCAGTGATCATGTGTTAGCATTTGCACTAAAAATTTGTTCTGAGGGCACACTTGTTGCAGGTATGGGTAAAAACCTTCAGGTAACCCTTGAAAGTTGAGGCAGCTCTCCTGCATGACCACCCCACCATAACAGTAGGCCCTCTTCTACTTTGATGGAAAGAAGCCACATGAAGATCTTTACTTCTGCCTTCATCTGCACATAGTCAAAGATACAAACCAATATGTTCATTAGTAATTAAGGGTATTTAACAGTGTGTATTTTAAAACAAACTTGTTCTTCTAGCGTGCTGTTTTTCATTTTGCTGCTACCTTGTTGGTGTGATCTTCAGTAACCCAGTCAGTCCACGGGTGCTGGCTTTATCAGGTGTAGAGGTGGGAATGGCTCTACTAGTCTCTTCAACTGACTGTTCTTGTCTCACATTCACAGGAACCAGCTGTAGGGCCTTTTGCAAAGTGATGTCATGTACAATGTCATAAGGATTTTCTAAGAGATTTCCTTTGAAGTGGGGGTCAGTAAAACATGAAACATCATTTTCAGTACTTTTTCCGAATTCCTAGAGTCAAGGTCTTCTCTCATTGTTCTGTTCATTTGTGTGGATGGTCATCATTGCTTTGGATCAAGATCTCAGTTTTAATGTGCTCCAAAAAAAGGTTTCAGGGTAGAAAGTGTTACGTTGGTCTCTGCGGCAAGTGCATCAGTGAACTGTCTGTTTCTTTGGGAATGAGGTGCCACGCCCCTTTCCCCTGCTAATGTTGCACTAACAGCTGAGAAATCCTTCTATCATCTGAAATATAGAACCCCACCAGATGACTACATCGTGAACTTGACTGAGTCTACAGGCCCGTTTGTTTAGCTAGTTTGTTTTAGCCTTAGCCCTGAAGTATTTTTTCCAGCATCTTGAGAACCTCTGAACAAGATGACAACAAACCTGCACTGCAGTTTCAATACATTTCACATTTAGAATTTATGAAATTTGCCAAATTCTAATTACCAAAGTACTCAAGCCATAGCAAGTTTGAGGCATAATCAGTTTTTACACAAATGAAGTTGTCTGTGCTATCCCCTAATCTTGTGGTATATTCTCATCATTTCCTGAATGTTATCTGCAGTGTGATCTTCAGGAAAGAGTAAGGTTTCCAAACAGTCTGACTGTAGTTCCCACTCAGCACTACATGAATGGAAAAACCTATGTACCTGTATAGTTCTCTGCCTTTGCTGCTTGTCCATGGGTCTCTGGTGGCAACAAATCAGGTATCCAGTGCCAACCTTTCACAAACTTCAGCCTTTACATTGGAATACTTTCTAGGGATCTCTGTTCTGGAGAAAAACTGTCTGGTCATTACATGGTATTGTGTAAATGCTTTTTTAGCAAACTGCTTCATTCAGCTCTATTGAGCATAAGCTGTCTTACTGTTGTTTGCAGCTCCATTTGATCCTTATATATATGTACACACACACACACACATACACACACACACACGCACACTCGCACACACACACACACACAAACACAACTGACATAACCCTTCATTTAAATTGACATTCAAAACATGTACTGTTTTAGTAATGTTTATGAATAAATGCTATTTAGCTAGCGCAAACTTAGCCATAGCAAACTCAACACAAACACGTACCATTATTCATTCATACAAATCTAAACTGACATAAACTACATTTAGTAGTTTATTTCACATGGTATGTTACTTACAATGGACATTTTTCGTCATGTGCAGGTTGCTGTGTTTGTCTTTGGAGGGCGGTTCTCTTTCTGCACACTGATCAGGCTCATGGTTTTGTTGATTATGTTTTTCAAAGCCATAATATTTCCACACATCAGACTTCAACTTCTTGAGATGAGGCTATAAATGTCTGGAATCATCTGATCCACTGCCTGTCCACTGGCCATGACGATGACGATGACGATGAAGAACCACTGACTCAGCAGCTAACAGATTTTATTGCTATGATTGAGGGCCTCATTGTGGTCAAACCATGGATCTATTATAGTTGTATGGGGCAAACACCAGCACTATAGCATCTAACATCCAACATGTAAACAGTATAGTCAGAGTGCATAGAGGAGACATGTTGCAGGCTGGTGCCATAAAGGCGATTATCATCTTGTGCGGTGGTCATGAATCACGATTATGAATGAATTGTGGACATATCGCGATTAGCGATATTATTGCAGAAATTACAAAAAAAACTGAAATAGAACTAATATAAGTCAGAATATTTTGTTTGTGGAGGAACTTATAGTAGGCCTACTTAAAATAGATAGATCAAATAGATCCTCAAAATATGGTCCTTTCATCTGAAACTTTCAACAGCATCTGGTCTTTGGGGTTGACTAATGGCACCACTTTCACTGTTGTTGTAAAAAACTAATTTCACTTTGTTTATAATGTCAGAGAAGGTGTTGAACATTGTTT